CGAGCATTATTAATGATAAACATAATTAAATTAATTTATAAAAAGTTAAATTATAAAGTATTAAATATATAATTATAAATTAATTAAAAATCTAAGTGTAATTTAACTAAAATATAATCTTTATGAAACATTAGTTTTTAGGGTAAATTCTATCATTGACCACCTAACTATTTACGCTTTTTACTTTAACCATCGATTTTTCAGTTTTGTTAATCATGTCTCCTAACTATTTAAATCTTGTCAATCAAGCCACCTTCTATTAAATATTAATGGAAAGGATGACGTAGCATCTAATAAAATTTTTTAATTACACATTTAGTGCTCATTACTTACACATTCTATTAATTTGGTCCTAAGTTTTAATTAATTCAATAAATTTAATCATTAATCCGATGACAGTATGTGCCACTATGTGATTGGATTTTTGTTCTTATTATTTTTATTTAATTTAATAATTTTTCCATCCAATCAAATGGTTTCACGTGTCACCAATAGAATGAATATAAAATAAATTGAATCAATAAATGTTACCAGTGGAGTTTGAACCCAAGACATGAAGAGTGGAAGCAAACACCTCAACCACTGAGCTGCACCATTCAAATGACAAACTTCTCACATCATAATATATATAGTTAATGGTTATAAAAAGAAGGAAAATGACCTAATAAGAACTCCAACATTGAATAATTGAATAATACGATAATATGATATATATATACATACAAATATTATAATTGATTAATATGTGAATATATATTATTTATATTTTAAATTATTTTAATAAAAAATAAAAATAATTTTAATATATTATATTTGAAATATAATGAAGAGCTTCGTTAACTTAGAATTTTTCTGATAGTTGCGGACTTATCATAGTAAGCATTTTAATTTATGCATTAACTTGTTTATATCCTGATTAGAGTAAGAATTTTATATTTTATTAGTTATTCATTATATATTTGAAGAAAATTTTAGGGGAAACTTGATTTTATTGAATTAGTCTATTTTAATATATATTTGTTAAATAAGATTAGAATCTGACGTTATAATATTCTAAAATATAAGATAGAATACACTTCAGTTCAATAAAATTAGAACAATGAAGATAATTTATTAACTTAAAATATGTAAAATGATACACTTCAATTATAGTATATTAAATTCACTTTTATTTTAATTTTTTCATTAAATGTAATTTAAAATCAAAATAAAAATATTCATATATTAATCAATTATAATATTTGTTTATATATATTTATATTTTCATACTATTCAATTATTTCATGTTTGAGTCCTTATAAGATCGTTTATTACCATTAACTATATTATAAATTATATAGATTATGTTCTGTATACTAGACAAGTTTAGTGGTATAGCTTAGTGGTTAGGGCGATTAGTTTTTGGCTTGCGTCCGAGGTTCAAACCCTACCAACAGTGGTTATTGATTTAAATTATTTTTCATTCATTCAATCGTTAACACGTGGAACCATTAGATTGGATGAAAATTTTATTAAATAAAAAAATTTAAAAAATCTTATCACACATGACACATGTCACCATCGGATTGATGATTAAATTTATTGAATTAACTAAAAGCTAGGATCAAATTAATAGAATATGTAAGTAATAAGGACTAAATGTGTAACTATACAAAATTATTAACTACCACATTCAAATTTTATTAACCGCCACATCATCCCCTCTTTTAATATTTAATGACACGTGGTTTGTTTGACAATATTAATAGTTAGGTGACTCGATTGAAAAATTAAAAAATCGATGGTTAAAGTAAAATGTTAAATAGTTAGGTGGTCAATGATATAATTTATCTTATAAACTAATGTTTATGAATATTGTATTTTAATTAAATTGCATTCAGATTTTTAATTAATTTATAATTATAAGTTTAGTAATTTATAATTTAATAGGACTAATCATTAACGGTGTTCATATCAGCTTTATAAACGAAGCAACATCATCTTTATTTTAATATATAAAAACTTGTAAATGCTAAATTTAAATTTTAAACAATTTTAAAAATTATTTGTACGGGGACTTAGATTTTCCGTAAAAGATTAGAAAATGTTAAGAGTGTAAGAAGTTGGAGTGTATCAACTTTTCATATACGTAATCGATTTTTGAATTTAACTATGATCCTGATATAAGCGTAGAGCAAAATATTCATAGTCAGTCGTACTTGGTCCAAATGATCAATAACGTTTTTAACAATGTGACAAACTATTCAAAGACTTCACATTTGAACCACTGCCAAATAATTTCAACAATAATCAGTAATGAAATCATGATTTTGTGTTAGGAGGGATAAATTTATAAAATTTATTGAGACAAAAACATATTTTCAATACAAAAATATCTTTAATATATAGGAATTTAAAATCTTTAACCCCTCTAAATCCATCTTGGACAATAATCATCATTTATTACTTGTGTCAAAATCATGAATAATATTACTTGTCACAATTTTAACTAGTATATGATTGAAATAGCTGTTATGAATATTGTACACATATATAATTTTATCAATATACATGTTAATTTCAAATTTTGTGAGTATAAAAATGTTAAAATAGTTTGTTATTGGTAAAAAAATCTTAAACTAGGTATAAATTTAATATTTTTTAAAAGTCACTAATTTTATTAAAAGAACAAAATCTAAAATTATAATGAAGATTTATAACTATAAACGTAAAATAAACATATAATTATGACATTTTCTTATAACTATTAACATGAAAACTTGCAACTTAAGACCACACAAGGATCATACAAGAAAAATGTTAAAAACCTAACAAAAAAACTCGAACAACATATAGATATGAATATATATGATCAAATCAACAAACGAATCACAAAAAGAGACAAAGCTACTAAAATACCACAGACAAACCATAAATCAGAGTCAAGCGACGTGAAAAAACTATCCACGAACATAAATCGCGTATCCAAATCTAATTCGATGGTCCAGAGTATGAAAGATCAACATGATAACAAATAAGTATCATTTTGATCAGTTGCGACGATGTCAAATCCAACTCTGAGAAGAAAAATAAACTAACATAACGATCAAACAACTAAAAAATATCCCATAACTAATATACACGTATTTTACTAACGATTGATAATAATTCCAATCATTTTCACATATTCAATTGTTTAATGTTCATTAATCATTGCAAACTTTTAAATTTCAAATAAAATAAACTTAATATATTTCTCAACACTGACTAACAATTTATGTTTTGTCAATAAAAATCAGTGCATTAATTTTTTATAATAATTAACATTTTTAATTATAATTCCATAAAAGTATAATTATTAGACAAGAATTATGTTTTCATATCATTATTTTTGCTATCTAAACACACTCTAAATATCAAATTAATAAAAACAATCAATTAATCAATCAATCAATTGATGACGATTATGATGTTAATCATATGTTTCTAAAAGATTCAAAAAGAAATTTGAATTCAACAGGCACTTGTCATCCTTCAAAATTTAAACAATTAGTGTGAAAGTTAGTATTATTGAAAGTTTAAAAAAAATCATATATCAATCAATAACATGAAAAAGATTACCAACTTTTTAGATATAATACCCTTTCACGCAATCATATTTTCCCAACACTTTGTGACAATGATGAACAGTTTTCTCATTTACTTGCTCTCTTTTATTTGGGGATTTGCATGTCTCCAAAATATTGTAATCCCTTGGCGGGAAACTATGTCTTTTTATTTGCGTCATTTCAAATTCTTCATTATATCTTTATTTTTTTACGTAATTGTATTCTATTTAAAACCGTCTAATGTGCTATTTCTTTTTTTAAATATATATGGAATGTATCTTGATTTATCGATGGGAGTACGAATAGAGTAAAATAGGTTGAGAGAGTTTATTTTTTGTTTTTGCAATATCTGATTTTGATTAATTGGTCAATAGATCGGATATCAATTGTTAATTAAAAAATTAAATAAATACTATCTTATAATCACTTTATACTATTTAAAAAAACTTAATAATAATCAACTAGATTAGTTTAAGTGGTCAATAACTTGATATCGCTTAAATAAACATCGAGTTTGAGTTATTGTATAGACAAAAAAATTATGTTAGGAGACTCGTATATTAAAATTAAAATAGATGCACAATACAAATCGATTCGAATTAATTAAGAAAAATCTCGAAAAACAGTAATGACAACGAAAATAACTTTAATAGTAGTAATTATTTATGTTACTGTTGGTGTGATAAAAAATGTTAAATTTCAAAGATATTAATGAAACACAAACTGAAACGGAAGGAGATAATGTGAAATTGAAACTGATGTTGCGGCGAATATAAAGAATTCCCCAAATCTCGCCGCTGGTCACTCATAGGCATAATATAAATTAGTATTTTAAATAAAAATAAAATAATTTTTAGAATATTCTCTCTTTTTATTAAATTCAAGAGTTCATGCAGACAGAACCATTTCATCAGATTTCTTACCCCTAGGGCTTAATTTATTTTCGCTCTCTGCAAGTTCTTGTTTCAGATAACATAAAATAAAACCTAAATGATTTTACGAAGAGAAGGAGCACAGATTTTCATGGTTTCGTTATTCAATTTACATTCACATTCTGATCCTTAAAATATCCATCAATTCCAAACCCCAAATTCAAAATAAATATATATTCTTTTTGTCTCATTTCAAGGTTTCACCTTTTTAGTGTAGCTCAAAATTTTCTATTTTTAGACACTTTTCACTCTTAATTTTTATTTTTCATTTATTTTAAAATAAAACGAAAAGAGTGATAAAAAACATAATGCTAATTACTAAAACGATTACTTATAATTAATTTATTAATTCAAAAAAATGTATTAAACATAAAAATTCCTAAAACAAAACAGCAATTAAAAATAAAATAGCATGATGAAAACAATAATACCTTTGAGAAAATTAACGTGAAACCGAGAGACTATTATTTACACATCCATATAATTAAATTAAAAGGAGAGGGTTAAACCTTAGAGATAAAAAAATAACAAAATAGGGTTGAACTTTAACTATTTCATTGTTAATAATATGACAGAAAACAAGAAAGATTCCATCTCTTTCACGCATCATTGTGAAAAATATTCACCCTCATGTCCTTGATATTTTTTGTTCAGATTTTTCAGTTATGAAAGCTTCTTCTTTTTAATGAGATTAGATACTCCTAATCTGAAGAACATATCCATGATTCCACCATACCTTCACTTCTGGAACCCACATGTTCCAGCTCTTTATCAGCACGAAAATCCGGCGAAGACGACGACGACAAGTTGCTCGCTTTCCCATTCGAGACTCTCCGGTCGTCACCGTCGTAGCCGCCATTGATGGTCCTTAGTAGATTCTGATCACGTTCTTGTGAAGATACCATGTTTTGAAACCGCTCCTGGCTCAAACCGAACTCATTTAAACCACCCATTTTGAGAGTCGACTCAGTCGGTGGAATATCCATGTTTGAACCGGAAAACGGGTATTTTGTAGGGGTTTGAAGGAGAGATTGAAAGTTAAGAATTGGGTTTTGCATGTTGATGTTGAGTGGATTCTGAGGCTGCTTTAAATGGCCTAACTCGGTCGGTAGTTGGTAGTTAATGGGAGTTGAACAAGAACTATTGTTGTTAGTACTAGGATTAGAAACTATAGCGTCAGCCATTGATGAGCTAAGAAAAGGTGGAGGGTTGATTTTTTGAGCAAATGGTCTTAAAAGATAATGAGGAGCTGGTGAAGGGTCTAAATGGTTTGATCTCAAAGCGGAAGACAGTGGACCGAAGAGATCGAGTCTAGCTCTCGGAAAAGGTGAGGAGGGGAACGGTGGTGCGGGGATTCCGGTGAACTCTTGAACCATGGCTCGGAAATTGGTGGTATCTGTGGTCAGAACAGTCGTCGGTGCACGCCTGGAAGCTCTGGATCTCTTCTTTGGATTACGCGCCATGTTGCTCTTGTTGTTGGTTTGGCCGCCGTTTGTGGCGGAAGCCGAACTCTCTGGCCCCTGTTGAACCTGCTGCAACGATGGAAAAGTGGCTCCACTTTGTGGTTGTTGGTTGGTAAACAGCTGTTGAGTCGCCAGTGCCGCCGATGAGGAAGCCATGAACCCACTGAGACCTGTCCAATTGGGCTCAGATCTTAGATTTTTGGACCAAATCAAATCAAGTACCGAATTCGGATTCGCCGTTGTTGTTGTTGCTGTTGTCGGAAGTTGCAGTGATCGATGATCCAAGAGTGATAAAGGGTCGAACATGGTCGATGGAGAATGGCCCTGGTGGTGGTGTAGCACCGGTAATGGCGGCGGAGGCGGTGGTTGGTCACCCAAATGACCATGTCCAGGACCGATATGGCTCAAAAAAGCTGAGATTGACTCAACTCGTGAATCAAACTCTTCACTGCCACCACTTGAAGATTGCAAACTACCACTATTACCGGAATCCATGAAAAGAAAAAGGACGTAAAAGAAAAAGAACAAAGATTGTTTCGGACAAGAGATTATTCTGCTTACTTCACCGTACTCAAAGACTCATTTAAGAAAGAAAGAAAGAAAAAAACACAGAACACAAAGCCAAGCATGAGGTATTAATAAAACGATGGAAAGCGGGAAAAAAGAGAGATCTTCCGGAAGAAACGCTCTCTCAAAATTCAGCAGAAAGTAGCCATAAAAATGATGTCTTTAAAGCTGTAATCTTCAAAAGATGATAAAAAAAGCTCAGGGATTTATCAATGGCTGAAGAAGAAATGTAAAATCAAAGTTTAATCTTTTGGATTTTAGGCTTGAGGGTTAAGGAAGAGTACTCTTTTTTAAAGAAATATTTTGTGTTACATTAAAGAGATGTTTGGTTCAGCTAATCTGCTGCTTCTGGATTCACTAAAAAAAAGGATGATGGCGTGGGAATGACATTTGTGTGTGAGATATAGACAGTGATAAAATGATAGCAACTGGTCAAAGTATATCTGTGTTGTGGTTTTGATTATTATCCTGTTTCTTAAAACAAAATAAGAATTATATATATTTTCAATTATTACTGCTTTTTAATAAATTATTTTGTATTTTTAAAGTTTTATGTTTAATAGTTTTTAAAAATAAGTTTTATGGTCCGACTTAAATTTGAGACATTAAAGAGGACAATGAATTATTTTAAATATATATTTAATTTATATTTTCATATTAAAAAAGTTAAATTTGTACCCATATTTTTTTAACCATCCACATAGTGAGTTTCTAATAATCTAGCATATACGTAAAGTATGAGTTAGTTTTCAAAATCCATGAAATTATTATAAATTGATTAAATTTTTATAATGCTTAAACGGTTAGGTAACTTGGATTTAATGATAGGGGAAAAGTAAGAATAGTGTTTCTATCTATTTCTTTACTTAATATTTGGTATAACCAACTACTAAATAAAACATGAAAAATATTAAAAGTTTCTTAGCCACAGTATTTGACTAGGTCAGGGATTAATTTTCAAAGGAAAATAAATAAATAAGTAACCATAATATTAGGTTAGTAAATGGATTCAAATAAGGCATTAAAAATTATCATGTGTAAAATTTTATATATTACAAATTAATTATATATTAAATTTTTATATAAAATGTTGTATTGTAACCATAAAATATGGAAACTAAAATATGAAGAAAGATGGATAGATCAGGTGAACAACACACCTTTTGTTTGCTGTAACCATAAAAAAACAATATTATATTATCTTTTTTGAAGAGTATCTATTGGAATTTGAAGAAATGGTTAGGTGCCCCTAATTAATTTTTAAAAACAGAAGTGAATAGATGAAATACATAACTTATAAATATACTTTAAGTGAAAAAGGTTTTAAAAAATTAGCAGAATGTGTAGCTTAACAGAAATTATTTCATTGGGTTTGATACCATCTCAATTTTTAAAAGGGGAAGGAATAACATACATGATGAAAAAAAGAATATAATGTCTCATGACACAATTATTTAGTAAAGTGAGGAAAATAGGTTTTATGATTACTGAAAACCATTTGGAGATTCATATTCTCTAAATGCCGAGTTCATTTCCTCGTGATATGCAATACCTAAAATAGGTAGATAATTGAATGGAGTGAACTATAAAATTCAGTGAGGTCTTATGATGCAAAGATAAACAGGTGTGAGTTCCCTGGGTAACAAAATTAGCAAGCATGCTGATGGTATGCTTGAAGTGTAGGGGTTTTGGTAGCGTTTTGAAAAGATGAATATCACAAACCCTCATGTGTGTTCATTTCTTGCATATTAACATTAAATCTAGCATTTTGAATACTTTTTGTTTGATTTGAGAAGCTAAAGAGGAGGGAGAGCCCTCTCAAAATCAAGGGTAAATGAAAAAGGTATTGAAGGTGTAAAAAAGTTTCATCTTAGTGAAGGAAACCAAGGTGATACACATCTAACTTGATTTTACTTCATATATGTGTGTAATTTAGTTTCTTAAATGTTTAGTTTGGTTTGTTCACGGTGGCTTAGTATGCTTTGTGATGCTTGTTAATGACTAAAGGTGAAAACATTTATTTAAAATCATTTGAAGTTACTGTTGTGTTTTTGATGTGTAAGAAGGCTTAGGGTTAGGGGTTGAGATGTCTTAAAGGCATTTTCAAACTCAAGTTTTGTGTTTTTAAACCTCAGTTTCAAAACCGAGACTTCAATATCCCATAATTTAGTCTTAATTTTTGAAACCATAGCTCGAGTCTCGAAATCATCCTAACCCAGATTAAGTTATCTAATCCTCCTAGAATGTCTTTTTAGGCCTAGTTTAAATTATTAAGTGATAAAATAGTAAAAACTCGTAAATTTTAAAATTTATAAAATGACTAAAATCACTTAATAAATGGACTTGAAGCCCCTAAAATATTAATTACTAAGTCTCAAGACTTTGAAGCTTTAGAAATAATTAAAAGAAAAAGATATTAATATAAACATGTAATCATTATTAAAGTCTTAAATAAATTCTTAATATAGATGTTATTAAAAGTTATTTTAAAATGAATTTTTTATCTAAATAATAATCTTATGATTTAGTTAATTTTTTTTATTTTTAAAATGTCAAATTAGTAATATATTAGAAATAAATATTATTTTAGTTTATTAAAAATTTTCTTTTATTTAGTACACACACGTATATATTATAGATATAAATAAGTTAAAATAAATTTCAAATCTTAAATTTATATATTTTTTCATAATATATGCATGCATGATTATCTAATAGATATTCAAATGTGAAATATAAGTAAATGGTTACCTATAGTAATTAAAAAGGAGAAAAAAAGGAAAAGAAAAGAGGTTGGGCTATATTTCTTGCTATAGGTCCAACCCGGATATATGGTGGTCCATATGATTTGGGTTAAGACTAATAAGTTTTTACTTACTATTTAATAATGTTCTTAATTTTTATGAGCAAAATTTTTAATTAATTTAATAGAATAAATTTAATTCAAGAAATGCTTAGAACCATTTTGAAAAGTTAAAATGAAAATTTCAATAATAGATCCTTCTAAAGTTATTAGAAAAAAATAATGAATATTTTTATTTAATGTTAAACTTTATATGTTTATCACCTTTAAAATTCGAATACACGTTTTCTTTTTAAGAGTATAATGTATCTTATCAATATGTATAACACTTAATCAAATCCTTAACTTGATAAACTTAATTCTATAATATTAGATCTTCAACGATTTGCATTTGACACCTAATTATAATTGATTTTATTAATATTTTAGTTAAATAAACATATTTTTTTAAAAAAAAAACTCTTTGTATTTCTATATTTTTTGGTCTTGCTTAAAAATCAATATTTTCTTCTTCTTTTTAGCTTCTGTCTTTGAAGGATGGATCTTTGTACGTAGGAAATCATCAAATTTTTTCTTTACTTCAAGAAGTGGATCATTCCTAATATTTAAATAATTGATATTATTTTGCTTTGTTTCAACTTTTAAATAATGTCTATATAATTTTCTGGAATAAAATCAGATTACTATTTGTTGATTCAAATTTATCTTGCCTTAAGTTATTTTTCTAAAATAAAATAAAATAAATTTTGCATGGAAAAAATGGAATCTCATTAAAAATAAAATTTGGGAATTATTGGCAAATTTTATACAATGTATTTTTAAAAGTGCACACATGAAAAGTATACGTACAATTATTTTCCAAGCAACTACGAACAGCAGTGATTCTCCAAAATATATTCCCCATATCAGAATTTATTTCACTGCTAAAAATAATTATTGTTTTTGTTTTCTTCCTTTTCTTGGGTGCTTCCTCTATGTTTTTTCTTCTTCATTAATTTAAGAATAATTATTGAGCTAATCGATCACAAGTTAAGTAGTAGGCAACTTAATTCGTTGTTCATTAAGTTTGATAAGGTTTTGCTCGACTCGTGCTCGTTAAAAAAATTAGTTCATCAACTTGACTCGTTGCTCGTTAAAAAGATTAGTTCATCAACTTGACTCGTTGCTCGTTAAACTCACCAAAATTTTTTCCTTATTTTTCTAATATATTAAAATCTAATAATACTACATAGAGCTTAATATAAATATAAATTAATAAATTTAAAAAAATAAAAAATAGCGTGTGAAGCAATTCAAAGTCTAAATTCTAAAATAACAACCCACAAGTATACAAAATTAACATATTACAATCAAAGTGACATATTATAACCATTCTTGAAAGAAAAAAAAATTAACAATACATAATCAATCGATCCTAAAAATAAGACAATCGACGTCCTAAAAAAATATTGAAAAAATTAGCGAGCTACTCGCGAACTTATCGAGTCGAGTCAGACCTTACTCTACTAAACTCGTTAAGATATCAAATCAAATTTGAACTCAGGTCAAATAAACTCAAATCGAACTCAAGCTACTCACAAATTGTTCAACTCGATTAACACCCCTGTTTATCACCCAAATATTTCTATAATGACATTATTTAAAAAGCTAGTCCAATGCATTTGTGACAATTCTCTTTTTTTAACCTAGGTTTTCTCTTAATTTTTTTTGTTGTCTTCCTTTTTCTCTTTGATATTTGTTTAATCGACAACGACAACAATCTTAATATTCATTGTTGACCACAAATGATTATTAGTTTTCTTGTTTTTTTATATCATGTTCTTTGTTTTTTTTCTTTCTTTCTTTATTGAGTTTCTTTTTTTTCAATTCTGAATAAGAATATTTGTTCATTTGACATGTTTTTCTTTGCTTTTGTTACATTCGTTTTCTATGCTCTAGTGGCATATCCTTATGACTTTTGTAAGTTTTTCACATATTTTTGCGAACGTTTCGTTACTCGCACAAAGACTCACGATATTTGTTTTCTAATTGGTTTGTCTATAGACATGTATAATCATATCTCCACTTTAGTAAAAGGTTATTTGTCGATAAAATTAAAATTGTGTGGTGAAACAACTTGTCAGCTTGGTTCGCTCACCACTCTTTTATCACTTCGTAAAGTGCCTCATTTGACAGATACAAAGAGTTTTTTTATGAAAGTTACTTAATTCTTTTTA